TGCCATCCGTGCAACAATGGGACTACTCCCCGCGAGGTGGAAACCCACCAGCTAGACGCGACGAGACTATACCCATTAAACTACGATTCAACTTAAGGGGACACGAATGGCGTCACGAGGCGTTACATAACATATCTCATGCGAGATCCCAAATCCACTTCCAGGTTGACGACTGAGTTGCGTCCTAGTGAAGGACGCCGTCGCGATGCGAATGCGATGTCCGAATCGGGTAGTGGACGGTAGCATCTCGCACAGAAAGCATGCTTCGTTTTGAAGATAGATTTTAAACCGCACATAATAACCCCGATAGCTTTACCCTTTGTGGTATTTTATTCAAATGTATTCTTTGTAATGAAGGGTTATATTTAGAGACGGGGCCAAGAATTGTAATTAACGGATTCATTGCTGATATTATCGAATGCTGAAAGTATCTTAAGCCAATAAGTACGGAAACCTTGAAGCTTGGACCAGCTCTTCCGCGGAAGGAAACTAAAAAGAAACACTTCCAGGTTCGGATTCCAAAGTTCGAGATCGTAGGACTTGTATTGCATCATTCTTATCATAGTGAAATACCACAGTGTCACAGTTATAATCTTATTCAATGGGTTGAAGCAATGTCCCAGTTCACTCTCACGAGGGAAAAAAAAAAAAGAAAAAAAAAAAAAAAACTGCAAACTGAAATGAAAGAAAAACATGAATTACGCCTTTTCTTAGACACACATTATTGCACGCAAAAAGCTTTATTCTTTACAACAAAATATTTATTATTTTATTATCAAAAATTTTTGTACAAGGATTTCATAAAAAAACGTTAAACTGCCTGTGCGAGAAATAAATATCGAAAATACACCGTTCCAAAAATGACCTACAATTGAAAACTAGAAATTAACATTTCTCTTCACTGTCTTAACATTACACGCCAGTCATCATGTCTATGTCACTAGAACAACATGTCTCTTAACATCAGACATTTTTGCACTTACTACACCGCTTGGTGGATTTTATGCTTCGAACCTTGTTGCGAGACGCGAGGCGAGTTGAGAATTCCCGTTGTCTTCAATCACTTATTTCTACGACAAGCCTTCACAAATGTAGCAGTTGACAGTTCAGAGCGCGAAGCGCGAAATTCGCCGCGTCTGCGCAATGCGCGAGGGCAGAGCTGGTCTCACTTCTTTCCCGACAGTTGTCAACTGCCACCTGTCTCGCCTTGTTATCCATAACCGCCCGCGCCGGGGCCGGAATCGAACCCGGACCTCCCGTTTACAAGTCAGCGCCGCTACGCACTCGAGGGATATTGTTATAGTATAGTTATATATATTATATATACTTACTGTTATTTATGTATACTAGTATATATATATGTATACTATAGTATATATACTAGATATATAAGCGAACCCCGACAGACTTCGTCCTGTCCAAAAGATTTGTTAAGATGTGACGTTTTTTTGTTCCTACATATTTTATTCAAGCTCATAGGGAAACAAAAATCTCCTGAACAGAACCGTCACCCTGGTGATAGCCGTTGTGAATAAAGATATTATAATTAATAAACAACCTATATAGGCATTTAAAAGTAAGTAATTGCTTTATTGTTTAATCATGCTGAATCATATTTGTAACAAAATTTCAGTTTTATTTTCATGTAGTCCGCTTTGTGATTTACTCAAATAGTTATTTTGTCTGATTAACCTGGCGCAATAGACAAGACAATCTGAATGGTTTCCAAATCAGCGGCGAACAGGCAACAACATGACCATGTGTGAGAAACGGGTTTTCCAATTCTTACCACAAACCACTAAATGTTTGCCCCGACTTGTTATGTCATTAGCAAAAAGGCAAGCCGAAGACTGGAAACTGTAGTCGTTTAAGTTAAACGGCAACATCAGTCGGAAATAATTTGGGCATGCGCTGTATGCCGAACGGTCTTCCCTTGTATACTTACTCTCTTACAGTAAATAATTGCTTCTTACCACGTATGTTTAGTAATTTTTTTTGTTATCGTAACCGTGTGCATCTTGTCAAAGACGTTGGTGGCTTGAATATTATAATAATTGGAATAGCAAACATAACTACCGTATTCCAACAGTTTAATTGAAGACTTGTGAATGTGGCAAACCGGGTTAAATATCCAGCAGAGTTTAAATAATTGGATAGTTTT